CAATCAAGTCTCATCTCAAGACTCCCCAAGCAGAGGAGGGGGTATTGAAGTGATACAGCAGGTGCTTTTGCCGTTTTTTCTTTTTTTTTTTCTCTGTTCCTGCATATTCCCTCCTTTTCTACTCTTTTACCTGCTCCAGCTATCCTCCTTGTCCTTCGGACATGTGTTCCTCTCCCTTTATGCCGCCCCTTGCCAGGTCTGCGTCTTCTGCCATTTGCGACCTTCCCCCGTCCCCATCCCCTTAGAGGGGGCGCTCTGGGGCTGAACGCGCTCTCCCCTTCTGTGCTCCCTTTAGCCCCTTTGCTTGCTTGTGGTTGCCCTGCCAGCACCACAGCAGCTTGGGAGGCGGTGTGTTGCACGCTCGATCATGCCCCAGCACAAGACTCGCCAAGCAGTGGATATCCAGGCAACTAACTCGTCTCGAGGTGACTTTTGAGTCGACTCAAAAGTCACCGTGTGTTGCACGCTCAATCATGCCCCAGCACAAGACTCGCCAAGCAGTGGATATCCAGGCAACTAACTCGTCTCGAGGTGACTTTTGAGTCGACTCAAAAGTCACCGTGTGTTGCACGCTCAATCATGCCCCAGCACAAGACTCGCCAAGCAGTGGATATCCAGGCAACTAACTTGCCTCCTCTTCACTCTCCACTCTCTTCACTGTTCACTGTTCCTGCACACTTCCAGCTCCTCTAATTGTCATCTACCTGCTAACAGCTACCCTTCCAGCACTACTTAACAATGCCTGTAGGGCCTGTGTTCCTCTCCCTTCTGGGTTGCCCCCTTATCAAACCTGCTTGTACCTGCCAGGTCTGCATCTTCTGCCATCCCCTCTCCGTCCCCCATTCCCTCAGGGGACTCTGGGCATCAAATCTCTCCGTTTCTGTGCTTCCTCTAGCCCCTTCGTGTGCCTGTGGTTGCCCTGCCAGCACCACAGCAGCTCGGGAGGCGGTGTGCCACACGCTCAATCAAGATCCAAGTCAAGATTCGCGAAGCAGTGAATATGCAGGCAACTCTCACTCGTCCTTCCTCTTTACTGTTCTTGCTCATCTTCTCGTCTTCTCTCTCAGCTGCCATTGCATTGCAAATTGTAGCCTTCGGACTTGTGCTTCCTCCCTTCCGCTGTTCCTTACGAACCTGTGTTTCCCTCCCTTCCCCTCCCCCATCCCCTTAAGGGGGCTCTGGGGTTTAAGCCTCTTTTCTTTCCATGCTCCCTCTAGCCCGTTTGCTTGCTTGTGAATGCCCTGCCAGCACCACAGCAGCTCGGGAGGCGGTGTGTTGCACATGCTCAATCATGCCCCAGCTTAAGACACGCCAAGCAGTGGATATCCAGGCAGCTCACTCGTCCTTCCTCTTCACTGTTCTTGCTCACTCCACCTCATCAGCTCTGTCTTCTATCCCCTCCCAGCTACCCTGTCTCGCTACTTGTTGCCTTCAAACGTGTGTTTCCTCCCTTATGCTGTTCCTTCCCAACCTGCATCCTACCTGTGTTTCTTTCCTTTCTGCCGCCCCTGTCAAACCTGCTTGTACCTTCAAGGCCTGCTTCCCCTTCTCCTCCCTCATCCCCTTCAGCGGGGGGGCTCTGGGGTTTAACACACTCTTTCTGTGCTCTCTCTAGCCCTTCGCTTGCCTGTGGTTGCCCTGCCAGCACCACAGCAGGCCAATCAGGCTCAATTGCCTCAAGTCAAGCCTCAAGTCAAGACTCGCGTAGCAATGGATACAGGCAACTCAGTTGCCCTTCCTCTTTGACTCTACATGCACGTACATGCCGTCTACGCATTGTCTACCTGCTTCAAGCTACCCTTCCAGTGCTACTTGCAGCCTTCAGTCCTGTGTTCCTCTCCGTTCTGCCGCCCCTGTCCCAACCTGCTTGTACCTGCCAGGCCTGCATTTCCTGCCGTCCCCTTTTCCACCCCATCCCCTAAGAGGGCTCTGGGGTGTAGCTCTCTCTCCCTTTCTGTGCTTCCTCTAGCTCCGTTTGCTTGCTTGTGGTTGCCCTGCCAGCGCCACAGCAGAGGAGACAAACAAGAGTGTCACATCCTCAATCAAGCCCCAGCTCAAGACCCGCCATGCCGTGAAGATTCAGGCAACTCACTTCTGTTTTCTTACCCATTCCTTCACACTTCTCTCCTTCTCTCGTTTGCTCCCAGTTACCCTTGTATCGCTACATGTAGGCCTCCGACTTGTGTCTTGCGCCTCCCTTACGGAACCTGCTTGTACCTGACAGGTCTGCATCTTCTGTCATCCCCTCCCCCTCCCCATCCCCGTAAGTGGGGCTCTGGGGTGTATCACACACTCTCTTTCTGTGCTCCCTCTAGCCCCTTCGCTTGCATGTGGTTGCCCTGCCAGCACCACAGCAGCTCGGGAGGCGGTGTGTCACACGCTCAATCAAGATCCAAGTCAAGACTCGCGAAGCGGTGGATACTCAGGCAACTAACTCGTCCTTCCCCTTGGCTGTTCTGCACTCCTCTTCTGCTCGTTGTCTACCTGCTCCCATCTACCCTTCCATCATTGCTTGTAGCCTTCAAATGGTGCGTCTTTCCCTTCTCCTGCTGTTTTGAACCTGCTTGTACCTGCCAGACGTGCTTTCAAAGTCGTGTCACATCAATCAGTCTCCATATCAATCAAGGCTCTGGGGTTTGACGCTCTCCTATCCTGTGCTTGCTTGTAGCCCGTTCGCTTGTCTGTGGCTGCCCTGCCAGCACCACAGCAGCTCAGTCTCGTGTGTCACATCAATCAGTCTCCAGAATAAGACTCTGCTCTGCCAAGCTCGAGGTTATGACTGGTTAGAGTGTGAAGACAGGACGGCTGCAAGCAATTCTCTGTGGACAGGTGTATGTATGCGAAAGCTGCCATCACTCGTGTATGCGTGCCTCTTTTGGCTTGGCGTTTCTTGTGCTCCCTTGCCTTTGGTATTACCTGTTAGTGTGCCATGTGGCAAGGCAGGTCAATGCAGGACAAGGCAGGACAACTGCGATTAAATTTGGGAGCGATTTTCTCCAAGTGCAGTATGGACGAACATGGCTGACAGGAGGTGCACAGCACAGGTTGTGTAAAGCATCTTGCACTCTTGCATTTGCTGCTCTTGCCTTTGCGGTTCTTGTTTGTCTCCTCTGCTCTTGGTGCTGCCTTCTGGTCTCTTGTGCCTAGACAGGACGGAGAGCAGTTTCATCAAGCTTATGAGCATATCTCAACCTTTTCCCCAGGTGCTTTGTAAAGCATCCTGCATTGGTGGATTTGCTGTTGCTGTTGCCTTTGCGCTTCTTGTTGGCTGTGCTCGTGGTGCTGTCTGCTGGTCTCTTATGTCAAAACATGACGGAGAGTAGTGTTGTCAAGCGTATGAGCATATTATCTCCACCCTTCGCCCAGGTGCCTCTGTAAAGCATCCTGCCTTGGGTCATTGCCTTGCGCTTCTTGTTGGTGTCCTGTGCTCTTGGTGCTGTCTTTTGGTCTCTTGTGCCTAGACAGGACAGAGGGCAGTGTTGTCAAGCTAATGAGCATATTTCCACCCTCCGCCCAGGTGCTCTGTAAAGCATCCTGCACTGGTGCATTCTGCAACTGTTGCATTGCGCGTGTTATTGGATGCTATGTTCGCTGTGTGCTGTCTGCTGGTCTCTTGTGCCAAAGCAGGACGGAGAGCAGTGTTATCAAGGTTATGAGCGATCTCAACCTCTCGCCCAGGTGCTTGTGTAAAGCATCCTGCCTTGGTGCATTGCCTTGCGCTTCTTGTTGGTGTCCTGTGCTCTTGGTGCTGTGTTGTCGGCTGGTCTCTTGTGCCTGGACAGGACGGAGAGCAGTGTCGCCAAGCTGATGAGTAAATCTCAACCCTTCGCCCTGTGAAGCATCCTGTGCTGGTGCATTTGCAGCTCCTGCCTTGCGGTTCTCGTTGGTCTCCTGTGCTCTTGGTGCTGTCTGCTGGTCTCTTGTGCCAAAGCAGGACAGAGGGACAGAGGGCAGTGTTGTCAAGCTGCATATTTCAAACTTTTGCCCAGGTGCCTGTGTAAGCGTCCTGCACTGGTGCATTTGTAGCTGTTACCTTGTACTTCTTGTTGGTGTCCTGTGCTCTTGGTGCTGCCTGCTGGTCCCTTGTGCCAAAGCCGGAGGGGGAGAGAGGTCATCAAGCTTACGAGCATCTCAAACAATTGCCCGGGTGCCTCTGTAAAGCATTCTGCACTGGTGCATTTGCAGCTGTTGCCTTGGTGCATTTGCAGCTGTTGCCTTGTGCTTTCTCGTTGGTCTCTTGTGCTCTTGGTGCTGTCTGCTGGTCCATTGTGCCAAAGCAGGACGGAGAGCAGTGTCATCAAGCTTACGAGCATATCTCAACTTACTTTTGCCCAGGTACCTGTGTAAAAAGCAGCCTGTGCTGGTCCACTTGCAGTTGTTGCCTTGTGGTTTCTTGTGGTGGTCTGTGCTCTTGGTGCTGTCTGCTGGTCCCTTGTGCAAAAACAGGACGGGGAGAGAGGTCATCAAGCTTACGAGCAGATCTTAACCCTTGCCCAGGTGCTCGTGTGAAACATCCTGCACTGGTGCATTTGCTGCTGTTGCCTTGCGTTCCTTGTTGGTATCCTCTGCTCTTGGTGCTGTCTGCTGGTCTCTTGTGCCAAAGCAGGACAGGGAGCAGTGTCATCAAGCTTGCGAGCATATCTCAAACTTTCTCCCAGGTAGCTGTGTAAAGCATTTGCAGCTCTTGCCTTGTGGTTTCTTGTGGTGGTCTGTGCTCTTGGTGCTGTCTGCTGGTCCCTTGTGCAAAAGCAGGACGGGGAGAGAGGTCATCAAGCTTACGAGCATATCTCAACTTGCTTTTGCCCAGGTGCCTCTGTAAAGCATCCTGCACTGGTGCATACTGCAACTGTCTGCTGTCTGTCTGCTGTCTATCTGCAGTCTCTTGTGCCAAAGCAGGACAGGAAGCAGTGTCATCAAGCTTACGAGCATAGCCCATCCATTTGTCCAGGTGCCCGTGTGTAGGTTGATTTTGAGAATTCTCAAAATCAACCTAAAACAAAATGGTGCCCGTGTGTAGCATCCTTTGCTGCTGCATTCGTGGTGCATTTGCAGCTGCTGCCTTGTGCTTCTTGGTGGTGTCCTGTGTGCGTCTGTTTGCTGGTCTCTTGTGCCAAGGCAGGACGGGGAGCAGTGTGGTCAAGCTGATGGGTATATCTCAACCCTCTGTCTAGGTGCCCGTGTAAAGCATATTGCACTGGTGCATTTGTAACTGTTGCCTTGTGCTACGTGCTGGTGCATCCTGTGCTCTTGGTGCTGTCTGTCTGCTAGTCTCTTGTACCAAAGCAGGACAGAGAGCAGTGACACCAAGCTGATGAGCAGTCTTAACCATTCGCCCAGGTACCCATGTGTAGCATTCCTTGCTGCTGCATTTGTGCCCCTTGCCTCTGTGCTGGTGTCTCTCTGGTGTGTCGTGCCAGCTGTGCTGTGAGCAGACCTTTCAGGCACAGGAGTTCGTCCATTCGCCTCAGGTATTAGTGCGCAGCATTCCTTGCTGCTGCATCTTGTCCCTTCTTTCTTTGCCGCTGGTCGTCTCTGGTGTGTATCGAGGCAGCTGTGCTGTGAGCAGAACCTCTTGCGCAGGCAGATGAGCACATTGGGGTCAGTCCATTGGCGCAGGTATCGTGCATGGCCTCTGTTGCTGCTGCGTTCGTTGCGCATTCGCTGGTTGTGCCCCTCCGTTTCTTGTTCTACCCTTCCCACGTGAACAGCTGGAGGTTCAAGTTCAACCTTTCCAAGGAGCGTTCTGTACCCTTCTATGTCCCTTCATCTATCCTTACCGCCGTTCGTTCTTCCAAGCTCAGGTAGACGTGTGCAGTACCCTCTGCGGGTGCATTCGTTGGGGGTGGCTCCTCTCTGGTTCCTGTGTTTCTGTGTTGCTGTGTTGCAGTGCCGGTGGAATGTGCTGGTGTAATTGCTCTGTGGTCAGCTGGAGGTTCAGGCCTGTCAGGAGCAAGCGTGATAATACCATCATCTCGCCAGGCAGACATGTAAACCATGCGCTATTGGTGCATTTCTTGGGTGTGGATTTTCTCCGGTGTCTATGCTCCTGTGTGGGTGTCAGTGCTACGTGGTCAGGTGGAGGTTTAAGTCTGGCAAGAGCAAGTGTGGTGTATTCTTTCACGCCCCTTTTTCTCTCTTCACCTTCAACCCAGGTAGACGTTTAGAGCAAGTGTTGCTGGTGCATTCTTTGGGTGTGGCTCGTCTCTGGTTATCCTGTGCTGTCGTGTTGGTGGGATGTGTTGGTGTTAGTGTTCTGTCGCCAGCTGGAAGTTGAACTCTCTCAGGAGTAAGAGCCGTGATTCCTTCTATGACCTTTCTTCTGTTCATACCACCATCAGCCCAGGGAGCCGTGATTCCTTCTATGCCTAGCGCACTCGTTGCTGGTGCATTCGTTGGTTGTGGCTCTTCTCTGCTTGTTCTGTGCTCCTGTGTTGGTGGAATGTGCCGATGTTAGTGTTCTGTGGTCAGCTGGAGGTTGGAAGCCTGTCAGGAGCAAGGAGCAAGCATGCTGGATTCTCTATGACCCCTTTTCTCTCCTCACCTTCATCAGCCCAGGTAGACGAACGCTGCACGCATCGCCGATGCCTTTGTTTGGTTGTGCCGTTGTTGTGTTGTGGCGCTGTTGTGTTGTGCTGTTGTTGTGTTGCTCTCCTGTCCATGTGGACAGCTGGAGGCTGAAACTGTGTGGGGAGCAAGCACCGTAACTCCTTGTATGACCCTTCACCTGTCCTTACCACCATCAGCCCAGGTAGACGTTCTCTGCACGCATTGCTGGTTCCTCTCTGATTGTGGTTCTCCGTGTCTTGCCGTGCTGCTCTCGTCATGTGGCCAGCTGGAGGTTAGAACCTGTGGGGAGCAAGCGTCAGCAACTCCAGTGTTCCTTTTTCTGTCCGTATCACCATCAGCCCAGGTAGACGTGCACTCTACGCATTGCTGGTGGTGTCTGCCTCCCTGTGTCTGGTTGTGCTGCTCTCTCTTCAAGTGGACAGCTGGAGGTTCAAGGTTGTGGGGAGCAAGAATCAGCACCTTCTATGTCCTTTTCTGTCCTTGCCACCATCAGCCCAGGTAGACGTGCACTCTACGCATTTGCTGGTGTCTCTTTGCTGGTGGTGGTTGCCTCCGTGTGTCTTGTTGTGCTGCTCTTTTCATGTGGACAGCTGGAGGCTGAGCTCTGTAGGGGAGCAAGCATGGTGATTCTTTCTAAGACATGTATCTGTCCTTACCACCAGATCTGCCCAGGTAGACTTGCACTCTACGCATTTGCCGGTGTCCCTTTGCTGGTGGTGGTTCCCTCCCTGTGTCTTGTTGTGCTGCTCTCTTCATGTGGACAGCTGGAGGCTGAAGCCTGTGGGAAGCAGGCGTGGCGATCACTCTATGTATGACCCATTCATTTCATCTGTATATACCATCTTCTGCCCAGGTAGACGTGCGTTTGTTGGTTCCTCTCTGGTTGTGCCTCCCTGTACCTGGTTGTGCTGCTCTCTTCATGTGGACAGCTGGAGGCTGAAGCCTGTGGGGAGAAAGCGTCAGCAACTCCAGTGTCCCTTTTTTCTCTCCTTATCACCATCAGCCCAGGTAGACGTGCGCTCTACGCATTGCTGGTGTCCTTTTGTTGGTGGTGGCTTTCCTCCTGTGTGTGGTTGTTCTGCTCTCTTCATGTGGACAGCTGGAGGTTGAGTTGAAGCCTGAGGGAGCAAGTGTCAGCAACTTCTCTTTATGTCCCTTTTTCTGTCCCAACAAGTGAAGGAGCATACGTGTTGGTTTACACTAGATATCCTTTTCGAGTCCGAGTCTTCCCACACCATATCATCTGCCCAGGTAGTTTTCTCACAGCACTTGCTGCTAGTGCATTCGTTGGTTGTGGCCCTTCTCTGGTTGTCCTGTGCCTCTGCGTTGGTGTGTTGTGTGAATGTTCTATGGACAGCTGGAGGATTAACCCCAACAATTGAAGGCCCAAGCGTGATGGTTTTTTCTATATCCCTTTTTCAGTCTGCCTATACTGCACCATCAGCACGGGTCGTTCTTTCGGAGCATGCATTGCTGGTGCAATCGTTGGGTGCAGTTCTCTGTCTGCTGCTGTTTTGTTGGTGCGACTGTAATGTTTTGTGGATAGCTGAAGGTTCAACCTGACAATCGGAGGAGCAAGCGAGCATGCTCGCACATCGGTCCAGGTGAAAGTGCATTGCACACGTTTCTGGTGCAATCGTTGGTCCTCTCTGTTTCCTGTGCCGCTGTGTTGGTGGTGCTGTATTGTTGGTGTGAGTACCTTATGGACAGCTGGAGAATCAACCCTGACTACTGGAGTTGCAAGCAAGCAGTGTACCCGTCCATATATATCCCCTTACCAATCTTTACCTATCTGCCCACACGCAGCTATCCAGGTGAAAGTGCATTGCACACGTTTCTGGTGCATTCTTTGGTCGTGGCTCTCTGTTTCCTTTCTCGCTGTGTTGGTGGTGCTGTGTTGTTGGTGGGAGTGTTTCATGGACAGCTGGAGAATCAACTCCGACAACTGGAGTTGCAAGCAAGCATGTGTGCCTGTTCAAAAATCCCCTTACCAATCTGTGCACACACAGCTGTCCAGGTGAAAGTGCATTGCTCACGTTTTTGGTGAACTCGCTAGTTCGATGTGGTGGTTTACGCTCTGTGGACAGTGGGAGGTCGAACCGTGACAATTTGAGAAGCAAGCAAGCGTGCGTTCACCGCTATATCTTCCCTTTCTTTTTATATATTCCCTCCACACGTATCAGTCCAGGTAAATGTGCGTAGCCCAAGTTGCTGGTTCTGGCTCTCTATTTCTGTGCCGCTGTCTTGCTGGATGTGTTGGTTTGAACGTGCTGTGAACAGCTTAGGATCAAGCCTTGCAAGTGGAGGAAGCATGTGTGCCCTTCTGATCTATATCATCCCCTTTTCAATTTTCTCACACTATCGGTTCAGGTAGATGTGCAGAGCATACGTTGTTGCTGCTGCTTCCGCTTGTTGTATTTCCTCTCTGGTTTCCTGTGCTTGGTGGGATGTGGTGGTTTGAACGTGCTGTGGTGGACAGCTGGAGGTTCAACTTACAAGTGAAGGAGCAATGTGTGTCACTCCATTATATAACCTCCCTTTCCAATCTGTTCACTCTACCTCCGGTCCAGGTAGACGTGCAGAGCATATGTTGCTGTTGCATCCGTTGGTTGTTTTTCCTCTCTAGTTTTCTGTGCTGCAGTGTTGGTGTGGTGTGGTGGTATGAAGTTGTATGGACAGCTGGAGGAGCAAGTGTGGTGGTTTTCTCCTTTACTCCCTCCCATCCTCTCCTATGTTTTCTATCAGCAAGTAGATGTGCTCTCCTTATCAGGCCAAAGAGCTTCCTTTGCTGGAGTGTATCTTGTTCCTCTTCTGCTCTTTGGCCTTGTGTCTCTGTGCCGCTGTGTCGGTGGGGTGTCTGTTGAAGCAGAACAGCTGCAAGCCATTCTCGCCGGGTTCCAAGCCGAGTTGGACTGGAATGACCCTTTGTCATGCTCGCTGGTGTGACACATTTGCTCCACTGTTTGTCCAGGTCCACATTCTCGTCGGGTTCCAAGCCAAGTTGGACTGACACATAGGGCGTGAGGCGTGACACATTTTCTTTAACAGTTTGTCCAGGTAGTCTAGTTTTGATGCATTTGCCTCTCTTGCAGTCTTGGCGCTCTTGCGTCTCTTGCCACTCTGTCCCTTTGTGGTGTGTCCGTGTGATGCTGGGATGTGTCTAGCAGGACAACTGCAATTTGCCACGCTCATCATCTGCGCAGCGCAGGTAGCACCTTCTGGGGTATATTCTTTGCTCGTGCATTTTTGGTTCTTCTGCTCTCGTCTTTGCTCTGCCCTCTCTCTTCTCTGCTGCTGTGTCCGTGTGATGGTGGGATGTGTCAGGCAGGACAGCTGCAAACCATGCCCTGATTGAAGTGAGAAGTGTTTTGCGTTCACTGTCACCTTCCGCCCTGGTACTACCAGCTGGGTTGTTCCTTCTGCTGTTGCCGTCTTCGGCTCTTTCGCCTCTCGTGTCTTGTGTGCTGTGTCCCTGTGATGGTGGGATGTGTGTCAGGCAGGACAGCTGAAACCCTTATCTCTTACCATCTCCCAGGTAGATGAACGCAGGGTGTATCCTCTGCTCGCGTAGCCTTCTCTCTCGTGGCGCTTTTGCCTCTTTTGCGTCTTTTGCCTCTCTCGTGTGCTGCTGTGTCTGTGTAATGGTGGGATGTGTGTCATACAGGACAGCTGCAACCTCTCAGCTCTTACCATCACCCAGGGAGTCCAAGTGGGAATGCATTTCTTCCTTGTGCAGTCTTGGCTCTCTTGCCTCTCTGTCTTGTGCTGCTGTGTCCGTGTGATGGTGGTTGGAATGTGTGCCACACAGAACAGCTGCAACGTGTCAGCTCTTACCATCCGTCCAGGTAGCACCTGTGGAGATGTATCCTCTGCTTGTGCAGTCTTGCCTCTCTTGCCTCTCTGTCTTCCTGCTGTTGTGTCTCTGTGATGGTGGGATGTGTGACAGGCAGGACAGTTGCAAACCGTCAGCTCTTACCATCCGTCCAGGTAGCTCGTGTGGAGATGTGTCCTCTGCTTGTGCAATCCTTGTGCAGTCAAGCTCTCCTGCCTACCTGTTTTGGCCAGCTGTGTCCGTGTGATGGTGGGATGTGTGTCACGCAGGACAGCTTCAATCTGTCATCTCGTACCATCCCTCCAGGTACTGCGAATTTGGAGGATTCCTCTTTTTCTGTGCAGTCTTGCTTTCCTGCCTCTCTGTTTTGGGGCAGCTGTGTGTGTGTGATGGTGGGATGTGTGTCACGCAGGACAGCTTCAATCTGTCATCTCGTACCATCCCTCCAGGTACTTCCAGTGGGGATGCATTTGCTGCTCGTGCAGTCGTTTCTCTCTCTAGTGCTGCTGTGTCCGTGTGGTGGTGGGATGTGTGTCAGGTAGGGAATTTCAAACCCGGGAGGAGTTTACCAGATTGAAGCTCTGAAGCCCTGTGGTCAGACCATTTTTACTTCCAGAGAGGGGATGCATCTACTGCTCGTGCAGTCGTTTTTCTGTCTACTGCTGCTGTGTCCGTGTGGTGGTGGGATGTGTGTCAGGTAGGGTATTTCAAGCCCGGGAGGAGTTTACCAGATTGAAGTTCTGAAGCCCTGTGGTCAGACTGTTTTTACTTCCTCATTCTCTGCACTGAGGCTGGTGTCTGTATCACCATTTATTTTCCATGCAAGCACTTGTTACCACAGGGTTGGCTCGTCTTTTCTGGTGTGTGCCTGGTTTCTTTGTGTCTTGGCAGATGGATGTGCATGTGTCTTGCCACAGGTGGAGCGGAGGAAGAGGTGCGGTGGTGTTCTTCTAACCCTTCTTTTCGTATTCCAGTTTTCTGCCCGTTTTTACCCTATTTGTGCCAGATATGCATACGCATTTCTATACATCCATCCCTGCATGTGGACATTCATTCATGCATATACCATAAGTGTGCATGTATGCATTCATCATTATACACCCACATCTTCATCATAATATATCATATTCATACAATGTATGGTATGTTACCATCTCCGGACAATGATGAGGCAACTGCCCCTGGATTACCCACTTAATTAGTGGGATATGGCTGAGTATACCCTCCTGGGTATGCGCAGCATGCCATTCTGTTGTCACCCTCTGGCTGGGGTTTTGGTCCCTTCCTAAGGGTATGATATGGCATTCCAAGGCAGCAACCTGACTCCATCAAATTTGTTAATTCTGTGTCCAAGTGGACGGATTCTCTTACCGGTATTTACATTGAGATGAGCACTGCTCTCATGTTCCTTGAGGTTTCCTGTCTTCCCTGATGTTGTATGGGTGGTTGAGCACTTATAAAGGTTGTTACGGTATCTGTATTTCTGGTTCTATATATAAAGCCTTCGGGTTACACCTGTGATATTTGATTATAGTCATCAAGTTCAGACTAGGCGCTGGCATATCTAGTTCTCTAATGTTGACTATAGTAATAATGATACTACTAGCGGACTGGTGTTATCTTGTACAACGCATGGTAGTGAAGGTGGCCACTTTTCTTGTGTGTAGCTTGTGCACTTTATCACACTTTTCTTGGATTCTGTGCCGCTACTGGTACATGCTAGTTCACCTAAAATATTTAACTCTATACGCTACTAGGTTTTATCTGTCACTCTAGAATATTCAACTGTGCATTAATTGGACGAATGGGATTTTTTCCTATTACTAATAAAAGGGACCCCATTCCCTCTGCTGTCCCCCGTTCACTGTTGTGACCTCCCAGAAAAATGAAGTCTGAAGTGGGCCTGGACCTGAAAAATAAAGTCTTAAGATAGTTTTGAGCTGAAACTTCACCAGACACTGAAATAACCAGTGTTGAAAATGTTCTAGCTGCAATAATAATCAACATGCAAGACACATTCTATTACCAGACTACCAGGAGAAAGCTGGTTTTGCTATGCAAAGGCATAATTTTGTCTGGCTTTACACAAACATAATTTTGATACATTTGTTTTAGGTATAGATGCAGATGACGGGTTGACGAAAGTGGCGGGTTGATGCAGATATAAAGTTGATGCAGAAGGAAGGTTGATGCAGAAGGAAAGTTGATGCAGGAAGGTTGATGCAGATCACACACACATGCACACCAAAAACCACACTCCACGCACACATTCCCCCCACACATGGACACACCCACATGTCCAGTCCACATGAACCCGTCTATGCCCCCACACATGTCCACACATATGCACACCCCAAGACACAAAATCACACCACACATAGGTCCACACAATACACGCACACACCACACGCATTCACCATACTTCTCAGCCAGTCTTCTTTCCCTGCATGCCAACTAACAAAGAAAATGTGAGACATTGCTGCCACAGAAGAGAAGCAGAAAAACACAATCTTAAGAAACACCACTCACCACTTTCT